CTATCTTTTTTCATTTTTCTTTATATTTGTTTTTTTGTTTTTTTCTTGTTTTTGAGTTCTCCTTAAGCAAGATTAGTCATGACAAGCAGTCATGAGTGCTATCAATACACTTCAGTAAAATATTAGAGAAGGAATATAGTTCTTATACTCTGGTATTAAGAGAATTGTTGAGTATAACAGATCGCATTTAGGTACTACTTGGTAACTAGATGAGTCATAACTTAGAATAGTATTAGCTTAAGCTAAGGAATTGTAATATAAAAATGTTCCTATTACTATAATAAAGTTGTGGCATGATTGCTGAAAGGTTAAAAAAAAAAAATTTATTACTAGGGGATATTAATATTCTACCTTAAATTAGCTAATTAAATTGCTTCAAGTTCAAATATATATAGTATGTGATTATATAATGCATAATAATAACTACTCATCTAAAAGTTGTAGTTATATGATCAGGTAAAATGTTATATAATTGGGAAATTCAAAATAAATATTCACTTTTATCAAAAATTATCTATTTTTTAAAATATAGTATAAGAAACTATCTTTAGTACTTTAATAAAAAGTTTTTTATTGAGTAATTTTACTATTAAACTCTCTAACCCTAACATTAGCATAGACTCTAATTCTAACCTAAATGAACTTTAAAGAATATCTTTTTCAGGCAAAACTAGAGAAGATATGTATAATACATAACTGTAGGCCTTCTTTATATTTCAAATACAATTTTTAAAAACATTAATAATATTTGTTAGAAGTATCTTATATCAAATTTGTTAGTATTACAATGCAAACAAATATTAGAAAGTCTCTTATACAGATCTTTATTACATTTTAATAAACTTAATATAGTCACAAATCAGATAAGTTTTTATAAAAATACATATATATATTACTCAATTTGTGTTGTACTATAACTAATATATATTATATATACTATATATTTGATTAAAAATCGAACTATAATATAAAAATCTATAATATAGGATTTATAGAAGATAATTATGAGAAACTATAAGTATTATTATGTATAGCTTTAGAGAATTGTAGTAAAAGTAGTATAAATAAAATATGAGAAGTTAAACATATACAAAGCACAACAAATCATTTATAATTTGTTGTATTACTTGACAATAGTACATATTATTACATATATCTCTATTTAATATATGCTGAATTTGTTTGTTAACATTTTTTTGCTATATTACTTCAGTTAAAGAATGCATTGTTTAATATAAAGTTGATACCTTTTTGTTAGTACTCTGAAGAAGGTCTTTCAATATTTAATAAAAACTAAAAACTATCAGTTCGAGTAATACAAAATCAAGATAAACTATTTAATATTAGAATATTTCAAGTATTAGAAAAGATTTGTGAAAAAGAAGTTAATAGTAAAGTTGCTATTAAATCAAATTTAAAAAAAGCTTTGTATAGTCATAGCTTTGGGCTTTGTAAGAAAGCTTTAAACATAGCAATTACAAATGGTTCTAGTAAAAACTTGGAAAATATTTTGCAATGATTTATTAATGAACAAGTTTTATAAAGTCAAAATATATCCAATCTATTTAAGTAAGGATTAAATCAAAAAACAGATATTTTTAAAATTTTAAATCTGCATTAACATAAAGATAAGGGCCACTTTGCAAACAAGAGATATCTGTTGGCTATCGAGAATAATATTATCAGAAATAGTTGTTTGAACAATCAAGATAAAATATCAGTATCAATATCAACTAAAAAAAATAAGCATCAGTATGCTATATGTAAGTCATGATATCATGATTCTCAAAACTGCTCTTCAAAAAAATAGCATATAGAGTATTGAAGGATGAGTATTTTTTATGATATAATTATAAATTTTAATCTGCTTGCATTGATTATTTGCATGTATCTTCATGTTATGTAATTACTATATATTTTATAATTGTATATGCTAGTACTTATATACTATTAAGGTAGTTGCATTAAATTTAAACTAAAATTTATATTTAAGTTCAAACTTGATTTAAAATAAAAATTTAACTCAAATTGATATGCTCGATACTTATAGTATTTAACTTTCTAAGTATTTTTTTTTTAGAATTAGAATTAGGCTGAATACTACTAATATTATTTGGTGAACACTATTAATGTAATCCTTATTAGAGTTAGTTTTAGAGTGAGCACTATTAATATTCTTCTTTAGCTTAGGTGTTAATTATAAGAAAAATCACTTTTGCTAAAAAAAAAAAAAGCTTATATTGAATCTTTAGTCTAATACCTATTAGTTATGCTTTTGATCAAAATTGTTAGCTATTTGGTTAAATGATTAATAATTTTAACTAAAAGTATAGCTGATATCAATAGATTTCTTTAGCTTTTTGTATTCGATCTAAATATTTTGTATCATATATCATAAAATAATATATATTCAATATGTTGTATATATATTCATATTTCAGAATTCCTATAATCTTATATATTTTGCTTTGTTCTTTAACTGCAATTCAATTTCTGTTTGAAGCTAATACAGAGAATTTCTAGAATTTGCTTCCAACTTAATAACCTAATTTATACTTCCAACACGTTGTGTTGAATAGGTATTTGCTAAAAATTTTCTTTTTATGAATGCATGTACTCAGCACTCTTTAGATGAATACAATACTCGATCACAATATTCTTAGATCTCAAAATATTTGTTTATTAGCTTTGTTTAATAATGATTAAATTCAAATATTGCAAATGAGTTTTGCAACATATAAAATTCAGAAAAAAAACTATCCTACTTATTATAAAGCTTTTTCTTGAGTTTTTCACTAAATTTTGCTAGATATAGAATGCATAATATCAATTAATAGTTTTAAGATATTAAGTAGTTAAAGCTATTTGCATTGCTAGATCTGCATCTATAAATATTATAATAGGTTAAAAGTTATTGGTAGCTAATTTTGTTTGTTCTAATATCTATTCATATGTTAAGATAGTTTCATTATAGACTATAGCTATTGCCATAATATAGCTTTACTGATTTGAGTCAATTATAATAAAAACACTTAGTAGTATCATGTATTTGTTTGTTTTATATATATTATTATTAATAATGATATCATAGAATTAGGCTTATAAACTTTTTTGTTCAGGTGACATCTAAAAAATCTTAGAGAGTCTATTATCTATATCTTTAAAGTCAATTTTAAAATACTAATTTGGATTATTTTGTTGTAATGTTAATAAATATTCATATAAAGCTATAGCATTATTTTTTGTTAGAATATCAGTTTTAAACTTGTTTATCATAGCTAAAGATCCTGATTATAAATTTTTTGGTCAGAAAACTTATTTTGTAATATTCACTTTAAAACATTTATTTCTAAATAATATTCCTAAACATAAAATCGAATTACATCTCTTATATGTATAGATATTTGTTATAACTATAGTAAAAATTGTTAAAATAATCAATACGTAATTATATTCTTCAATAAATTTGTTAACAAAGACAAGATTTAAGTATTTCTAATAGGAAGCATTTAATATAAAGCTACAGTCTATACAAGTCAATTATCTTTCTTTATTTTTTGTAAGATCTAACACCTTCTTGAGTATATATTAACCTTTATAATAATATTTATATGTTTTTCATGCATAAATATTATTTTCTCTTTCAACTCATACTATTTTAGTTTCAAAACCTATTTAGACTGAATAATATTTTAAGTATTGCTCAAATATTTCAAATGAGGTGAAAGTCTGCTCAGTATATATCTCTTTTAGAGGACTATTATCAGGTTTATCCTTAGAATTACTATCTTTAAGCATGTCATCTGCAACATTTTTAATTACAGGAATAGTAGAATTACTACCTTCTGATATATTAGTTTTACTAGCATTTTCTACTATAGGTAAGATATCAGCAATATACTTATTAGGTTAGAAAGTAAAATTAGCATAATTATCTTCAATATAAAATGAAATTTCAGCAAAATTAGTATAATTATTTTCAATATGAGATAAAGTTTTACAATTTGTATGAAATTTGTTAATTATCTAAAAAAAAAAAAAAACAGTTTAGTAATAGAACTTGAGACAAAATAGCTAAAATAAAAAATTATTCAATTACTAGTATAAAGATTGAAAATTTAATTAGATAAGAAAAAAATCTGTAAAACTAAAAAAAAAAAGCTTGACACATTAGTAATAGAATAGTAAAAAAAATTTCAATAAAAATGTTTGTTAAAGTAAGGAAATTTATAAAACATACGATAAATACTAGAAATAGAGAATTATGAAATTACTAGTATAGAGATTGTAATTTTAGATACAATAAAGAAAACAATGCATAAAATCTAAAAAAAATGAGTATGACATGTTAATAATAGAGTAGTAAAAATTTTTTAAAAAGAATATTTGTCAAGGTAAGTGAAGTAAGAAACATCAAAGAAACTAAGAAAGTCAAATGAATATAAAAAGTTTCATAAGATATTCGTGAACTATATAGTATATACATATTATTAATATAGAGTATTGTTATACTGGCTCCAAAGGTATGTTCATTTGTATTATTTTGAATAATTTCTCTTTTCTATCTTTACCTTGACAAGATTTGTTTTTCTTACTCACTTTCTCTTTTAAGTATTTATTTACTTTATACAAATATAAGTAGAATAAAGATTTGATCATAAAATGATTGAACCTCTAATTATTTACTGTATGATAAATAATTACATCACTAATTACTTTATTATCACCTATCTATAGAGTTTTGCATACTCGTCCTAAAATTGTCTGATACTTTTGTACTTATAGGCATAAGCCACTAGTACTTAGCATAGTACTAATATGCTGACATAGGTATTTGCAGATTCTATATATCAAATAATGTAAGCAATTATTGTATAATTACATATATCATCTGATCAATACAAGTAGAATACTGATAATTCCCAGTATAAATATAATATATCCTAGAAATAATATATATAGTAAAAATAGTATATATGGTATATATAATAGATATAAGAGAAATAGTAAATATAATAGATCTAATATATATAATAGATCTAGTAGAAAGTGTAGAAATAGTAGAAGTAGTAGATAGAGTAGAAATCATCGATTTTGGGTACAGATGTAATCATTCAATCAAAATTAAGTCATATGTTTTATATGAATTAATATTTATAAAACTTTAATGATCTCAGGATCTTGTGATTCAAATTATATGATCTTATGCTCATTAGAACTGTCTTGATATGCTGATTCCAATGATAAAGGTTTCATTAAGATTAGAGTAGTGGTTCAAAAGTTATTAGCAAAAATATGAATTTTACTATTATAATAAGAGATAATAATTAAAGTTGTATATATAACTAAATATACTCTTATTAATTAATATAAATCTATAAATAACTTAATAAAAATTAATCAGTATAAGGCCTTGTTAGACAAATAAAAAAATTTTTATATTTTATATTTACTTTTGTTTTAACTTATCTAATAATAAATAAATAAAAAAATAAAAATTAATAATTTAATAACTTTTTTCAAAAATTATTTATACAAAAACTTTTTATAAATATTTAATTATTACTTAAAATTCTATTAAATAAACTATTTATTAGTTACTAAGTAAAGCTATATAAACTTAATAAATTAGTTTTTATAGCATAAATTTTCAAAAGTAATATAGCAACTTAGCTTTTAATTTTATTTTCAAAAAATTTTATGTATTAAAAAAAACATAAAATTTTTTATAGATTTTGTAAAAAACTTACTTAAATAGTAAGTATACTTAAAATTTTTTTTTAGAGTTTTGTAAATTTTGACCTGACTAAATTATGAAAATTGATTAATTAATTTTATATAGCTTAAAGTTGTTTATTACAAATTTTTATTTTAAAATAGTATAATTTTATTATCTTTAGATCTTTTTTGTAACAATATTAAATACATTTTATTTCTTTTTTTTTTATTATTGTTAAAACAAGATCTTAATACTAGTTAATTTTTATTAAGTTATTTGTAGATTTATATTAGTTAATAAGAATACAATTAGTTATATATATAACTTTAACTATTGTCTATTTAAAGGTTCTGCTCTAAAGTTATCTACTAATTGCTATATCTAATATCTATTTGTAACTACTTTATTTTAAACTTTCTAGTATTTCTATTATCTCTAACATTAATCTAATTTTATTTTTAGCTTTGTACTTTAGTTTTTTCTATTAAAAAAGATCCTATCTCAAGATATTCTATTATTCTCTTTAGAAAGGGTTTGTAGAATATCCTAAGTATACTATACTATAATCTAATTAAACTAATATATACTCTTATAGATGTTTGTACAAACCCAGTTTCTACTATAACTCTTTATCAAATTAGTCTTCTATATATTTAGAAGTTTTATGAGTTAGATCCTCCTAAATCTAGTTAGCTGCCAAGCCAAATTGGTATTATTACTAATACAAGGTACTAAGCTGTATTACATAGCAAACTTACTCATATCTGCTTAATTAGTAACCTTCATATATAGGCTTTTTTTTAAATTAAGTATTAACCAGTATGACTATTAAAATCTATACTACTTTATCTAATTCAGAATTTCTACTATACAAATCTCCTGCTTATAGATTTTATCAAGATTTATTTATGCAATGTAATTCAAATATTGTATCATACTTCTAATATTTAATTGATATTAATACAATATAATTTATAGAGTTATAACCCTCAGAAATAGATAGAGTTTACTGTAAGTAGATATAAAAATTTGAATAATTATTCAAATTTGTTAATAGTAGGATTTGAAATTCAGACTTCTTATATAGCTATCTAATAATTTAACTACTATATTAAGATTATCAGATCTATTCTTTATTTCTTTAGTCTTTTGTTTAATATAAAATTTTATCTCTAGTAGTCTAGTTTTATATTTTTTGAACTAAATTCTATAAAAATATTATATATTTTATTTTTTTTAAATATCTTAAAATATTAATAACTTAACAACTTTTAATTATTAAAAAAGTTAAATTCTTTTAAGTTAAAGCTTTATTTTAGTATATAATTTATTAAAAATAAATTAAAATACTTTTAAAAATCTATTTAAAAACTTTCTAAATTTTTGTAAATTATATAGAATTTATTTATAGCAATTTCAAAAATTTTATTAGCTTATCTTAGATTTTTTTTATTATTTTTTAATTTCAAAGATATTCAAATTATAAGATCCTGTTTACAAGATCTAGAAATCTTACTAGTATTTAGAAAATTCTATTAAACTTTACTTTAAAGCTTATTTTTTATATCAATTTTAGTTTATTTCTTTTATATATTATTACTTTAATTTTATTTTGCTTGTTAAGCTACTCAAGATATTAATTTTAATTTCAACTAAATTTAACTTATACAATATTAATTACTACTATAACAAATATAATAATTAGTATACTTTTCAAATAAATAAAATAAATTTATAATTATTCTAAATTCTGTTTGCTAAGATCTAATCTACTACTAGGAGTATTACTTAATATTATCTTATCAAACTAATATTATTATAATAATAAATATATTTAATTTACTAAAGATATATTTTAATAAGTAAAATTAATTTTTTAATATTATTAAAATAATTAATTAAAATAATTAAATTAAAAAAAATTAAATTTTATATAATTTTTTAATAAATTATTATTAGCAATATTAGTTATATTGTTATCAAATGAACTTTAGTATATTTTCTTAATTATTTATTATTATATTATATTTGATGTTTAGATTTATATATTAGTATTTCTTTCAAATTCTTAATAGCTAAAAATAGATTTAGATTACACTATTCGATGTAGCTTAATTAGACCTTCAAAATGAGCTATAAATCATATTTGTAGCATATGTAGTTCTTGAGTTACTTTTGGATTTACATTTTGAGTAACATCTACATTTGATGATATTTGATGATATTTATAACATTTGATGATATTTAATTATATTTGATAATGTTTAACTACATTTGATAATATTTAACAACAATTGATGATATTTAACTACATTTAAAAATGTTTAGAAAAAAGATATATAAATCCTAGCCTTTCTCTCTCTTATAAAGTAGTTCTGTAGAATTCTAACAGTTCTTGTATAAGTTCTGTAGTTTTCATAGTTCTCTAATATAGTCTGTATAGTTCTTATATTAGTTCTATCAAGTACTAAAATAATATAGTACTCAATAAAGTCTGAAGTTCTCTATTAATTCTTAATAAAGTATACCTTGTCTTTGCCAAAAATGCTTCCTTTAAACGAACTATCATAGTAATATAATATTCTACTTTTACACTATTAGGAGTTCTTCTTTTGTATCTTATGTTACTTGTGGTGTATTGAGAATACTATGCCACTTGTAACAACATAGAATTTTATATAGTCAGCTAATAGTTTTTTTAGTGATATCTTAATATACACTAGGCCAATTTGAATAATCTAACTATCATTAGATATGTCTCAGTGAGCTTTACAACTTTCAATTAATTGACTTAAGATATTAACTTAATAAAAAAATTATTTATTATTAGAATAATATCAGATTCTAGCATATATTAAAAGTTTATATTGTACTTATCTTTAAAATTTACTATTGTTCTAATATAGTAATAGTACTAATCTTATCCAGATCATTAATTAAATACTCTGTTTATTAACCTATCCCTTAAATTGTAAACTAATACAGACAAATTTGTATACATTTTTATATTCATTCAGTTCTAATTTACTTTTTTTAAAATATAAAAATATTAAAAAAATAATTATAGATAATAAAATTTGAAAATAAGGATTATTTTTTTGCAGTATTTGTTTTTATATTATAAGAAAAAAATTTAGAATTATATATGAGCTAAAAATAGCTAATTTTATAAAAAAAATTTTTATAAAAATTTTATTAGTATTTTAAGGCAAACTTGTTTAATTTAAGTTTTAGAGGTATAATTTATTAAGCAATTTGATAAAACTTTTAAAGG